TTTCCTGTCCAGGCTGGCTTTTTAACTGTGATCCTCAGATCTCAGCCTCCTGAGTAGCTAGGATTACAGGTCTGAGCCACCAGTACCCAGCATCACTGGTTTTTGTAGTTGTTTGTTTTTGGTGGTACTGGGGTTTGAACTCAGGGCCTTGAGCTTGCTAGGCAGATGCTCTACTATTAGAGCCATACTTCCAGTAATTTGCTTTGGTTATTTTTGAGATTTGTTCTTGCTTTCTTTCCCAGGCCAGCCTGGACTGAGATTCTCTATGTTTATGCTTCCCACTGTAGTTGGAATGACAGGCATGAACCCCCATACCAGTTTTTTTTTTCTGTTAACATAGGGTCTTATAAACTTTGTATGCCTGAGCTGGTATTGAACTGTGATTCTCCTGATAGCAGCTTTCTGAGGAGATAAGATTATAGGTGTGAGCTGACCAGAGGCATGTACCATCATACCTGAGTTATTGATCAAACAAATGAATCTTGCTAACTTTTTTGCCCTGGCTGTCCTCAAACTGTGATCCTCTGAATCTCTGTCTCCTGAGTAACTGAGATGATAGCTGTCCCCAGCTCTGACACTCCTGTTTTTGATTGCTTTATGTCTCCTTCCTTGGATGAATAATATTAACAGCCACTACTACAACCACTGCTATCATAAATATTGATAAGAAATACCAATAATGGTAGGATTGCTCATAATTACATTTGGCATGAGTTGGTTCTACCAGTCCAGCTTGCCAGCTCCCTTCCTTGGGCACCAGCTAGATTTTCCTTTGGTTAACTCTTTCTCCTTACTAGATCACACTGATACATGAGCAGTATAGGTGAGGAGGTCCTTGTTCTCTAGATATAGAAATAAAGCTAGGAGCCAGGTGCTAGTGGCTTACTCCTGTAATTTTAGCTACTGAAGAGGCTGAGCTCTCAGGATCTTGGTTTGAAGCCAGTCTGGACAAGGAAGTCCTTGAGACTCTTATCTCCAATGAACTACTCAGAAAAAGTCAGAAGTGTACAGTACTAGCCTGGAGAAAAAAGAAGCCCAGGGATGGCACCCAGGCCCTGAGTTTGAGCCCCAGGACTGGCATTAAAAACAACAACAACAACAACAAAGCCAGGCACCCGTGGCTCACGCCTATAATCCTAGCTACTCAAGAGGGTGAGATCTGAGGATCACGGTTCAAAGCCAGCCTGGGCAAGAAAGGCCATGAAACACTTATCTCCAATAAACCACCAGAAAACTCGAAGTGGTGTTGTAGTTCAAGTGATAGAGCACTGGCCTTGAGCTGAAGAGCTGAGGGACAGCACTCAGGCCCAGTCTTCAAACCCCATGCTGGACCAAATATAATAATAATAATAATAATGACAACAACAATAATAATAACAATAGTAAAGCCAAGAATAGTGAAAAACTCAAACAGAAGAGAAGTTGATTGCAAAGAGAAAGATGAAGCTGTTTGTGGAAATGGACAGAGGGTTAGAGCAAATGATCTACATGCTGCTCCAGAGTTTTCTTTTATCCCCTCCTCTGGAATTTGGGAGCTAGGTGGGGAAGGACCCATTTATTTGTTTGTTTTCTTTCCCAGGAAGGCCAGGAACGTTTCAACTGGCTATAGGAAGTCTGGACAAGTGGGAAATAAGATTTTAGGAGTGTTGAACAGTCCACCCCCTGGGGTAAGGAGCAGCATAATTGTCCATAAGGTCCTAAAACTACTGGTTGCAGCTATTTTACTATTTTTACCCACTGACTGTGGCTGTCTTTCCATCAACATCGTAATTGGAAAAACCACATACTTTGTTTAGAGGAGGGGAAGGCTCAAAGATGGGGCCCCGGTAGAGGTGTAGCAACACCCTGAAAACACCATCATCAGTTTACATGATTTACACCAGGGCTCTTTCCTACCTCTTGGAGATGTTTGACCATTTGACTTACCCTCTGATTCTGTCAGCTGTTTCAGAGTCCCTCTGATATATCTTTCTCTTGTTTTTTTTCTAGAAGTGACTTGCTTTGCCTAGTACTCAAAGATCCCTAAATAATGTTTTGGAAACAGCATTGGTATGAGTAGCTATGATTGCTATCATCATCATTTTTTCAAGTCATAGTAGTGCTCTCATTTACCTACTATTTATTGTATGGTCTGAGTGTTTTGTGTCATTGTCTCCTCCTAACAACCATCTAAAGTGCCAGACACACAGCATTGTCACACCCTTTTACAGATGAGAAAACTATGGCTTCTAGAAATCAGGTAGCTGAGAGAGGTACCTGACATTGTCAGGTAGGGGTGACATTGTCCCAAAAGAAATGTACTTATTGTTAGGAACATGGAGAAGAAAGAACAGACTAGACTTGATCTTGACAGGTGAGGGCTATTTATTACAACAGCAAAGGGCAAGCAACCTTCCCATGGGAATAGAGGTTTATACAAGAAGGAGGGGGTTGGAGTTAGGCTTTTATAGGGTCTGAGGTAGGAGACACTGGTTATAGAAAAGGCTATTTAGAGGTTATCGAAAAAAGGGGGGTGGGGACTTTTGGTTAGGATCACCATGGAACAGTTACAGCCAGATTTAGGTTGGATTGCCCTGCCTGCATCAAGCACATCTGTGCATACTTGGGGTCCAAATGTACCTTGGGTAATAGGATGTGGTAAGTCATTTGTATTCTTTCTTTAGATACTTCAGAAGATTGTACATCACCTTTGTCATAACATTTTTTTTAAAGGGAGAACTCAGGTAGTTTACATAGAAAGTGATGGAGCTAAGGTTCAAACACAGCATCTTCAACTGTAGGCCCATACTCTTCATCACACAACTGCTTCTCTACAAAATGATTGGATTTACTTGGCAATGTGCTAAGCTAGTCACTTTACATCAAATGCCTCCTTTAATTTCCACAAACATCAAACCAACCGAGTTTCCACATGAGTTCAGATTGCAGCCATACAGAGAGAGACAGGCTTAGGCAAGGGTTAAATCCTTGTGTAAGGTCATTCAGCTTCCCACATTTGCAGCAAAGCCATCAAACCAGGAAAAGCCTGAGCTTGTCAGCCGAGGGAATGAAGAAAAGAAAAGCTGGCCCAGGCTTAACCTTGCTCATTTTACAGAACAAAAGGACCTTTAAAAGATGCAGAGAATCAGCTTCCTTTGGAAGATTCCCTCTGGGGAGGCTTTGGCAGAAAGGGAAAACATCCTTGTACTGAGATAGCTTTGAAAACTTCACATCTAGGGCAGAGTGTTTTCTCCCCTACTCTTTTTCTTTGAGAATTCCAGTCCTGATTAGATCATGCTCTAGACCAGAGTCGGCCAAGGGCCATGGTTTAAATCACTACTGATGACCCCAGAGCGTCCTAAGGGAGAATTTACTTGTTTTACACTGAGATAATGGAAAATCAAGCTACCTCTGCTTCTCTCTAGGAGCCCTGGCTTGCCAAGTTGGTTTTCATAACAGACTTCTACAGTTGATTTATCTTCTATGAAAAGTGAGACTTAAAACCAAAAAAGAAAGAAGCGCTTCGTAGTGCTTGTGCCAGAAACAGCGATGAAAGCCAAGAGTGTTGTCACAGACCCCGTTACCAAAGTAAGCAGTTGATGGGTTTCCAGACATGGCAGCAGAGACCCCAGATTCCATGGAGTCTGGAGAAAGTTTCTATTTTTAGGGCTCTGTCAGGAAATGAACGATTGGAAGGCACTTCTGTGGCTGCTGTTTGGCCTTCTCCACCATTATCTCCAAATCCCTCTAGAATTTATGGTCCTAGGTTTAGTGGGGGTTGGTAACCAGGCTTTGTACTCAGGATGTCAATCAGGCCATTTTACAAGGACTTTTTCGAGAGGATGCCAATGGGGATGGGGTACAGAGTGGTCAGGAGACCACAGAAGAACAGGTGATTTCTGCCTTGTCCCTCCTCCCTTTGTGTTAGTACTAGGGCATGAACTTGGGGCCTGGGCGCTGTCCCTTAACTTTTATGCCCAAGGCTGGTGTACTACCACTTGAGCCACAGCTCCATTTTTCTTTTTTTTTTCTTCTCTTCTCTTCTCTTCTTCCGCCCCCCTTCCTCCTTCTCTCTGGTAGTTAAGTCTATGACTTTCTTAGCGAGGATGGCTTCAAGTTGGGATCCTCATCTCTCAGCCTTCTGAGTAGCTAGGATTACAGGCACAAGCCATTGATGCCTGGCTGCTTTGCCTTTTGTAGCAGTTATGCTTAGTCTGAACTGACTTTTCCACAGTTTTCAGAAGCAACTTCCTTAAACCTCCCCCAGTTCTATCACCTTCTATCAGTCAATACAAATTCAACTATTGAATGCATCTGTCTCTACCACAGGAGGCTATAGTCTGACTTTCTCTTGGGTCCCGATCAGGCAGAACAGATCATAAAATGAGGCCCTTATTCTAAGTTTCCTTACTCAAAATTCTGGGCCCAGATTCTTAATAGCTGCTTTCTAGGCCTCATTCCTACAGGAAGGGAAAAAAATAGCTGTTATTATGTCCTGATCTTATACATAGCTTTTTACATTAGTCTAAAATAGCACTATGCAGGGTTTCCAGACTGAGCATCCAGGCTGTATTTTTCTTTCCAGGCATCCTATATTGACTACCAAAAAAAAAAAAAGCCTTCCTTTTATAGCATATGATTTTATTCTCTCATCACTTTGATATTTTCTTTCTTGTTAGCAAGTACAGGGTTTCAAATGTCACCAGCAACACTGTTGCAGGTTTCCTTTGGAGATTGAAACCTGCTTCTAGAATATATGGGGGCAAAGAGTTGGAGAGGAGAATTCTAATTTTTACCTGGTAATGTGGTTTGGCATACTGAATGAACTGCCAGGATTCTGCTATTGCAGTCCTCTCCTGTTTTACTTCTTGCACATAAAGTCACACTCACTCACTGCTCACTCATGCATTACTTTGATTTATTTGCTGCAATGATATAAATTATAGAATTGCGTGTGTCTCTGTGTGTGTGTATGCGAGGACTGTGGTAACATCTCAGCTGGAATTCAAAATGGAACTCACGTCTGCAGAAGCAATCGGTGACCATCAGCAGGTGATTTACAAATAGGCTCTCCCACTCCAAGCTGGGAGCAGCAAGGGGATGGTCATCTTTGCACTGCATCAGGGTCCTGTGCAAGAATGAACAAGACTTTGTGCAATAGACCTGGTGACCCTTGAGGAAATAGGCAGGGCCTTTTATAGGTCTGGGTGGCACCATGTGAGGGAGAGGGATAATTTCATCACTTCTGAGCAGAACAGAAAAGCCTGCTGGCATCTGGAAGCCCAGCAGTGTGAGAATGAGGAGAATGAGGAAATCAGCTCCTTTCTGTGGTCTGGAGTGCTCTTAGGCTAGTCTGATAGCACAGCCGCTGGAGCACACACTGGGAACAATTGGGAATCTTAATGTAGGCAGTGCTGGTGAGTGGGATGGGAGACATTAGAAATCCAGTTGCTGCTTATGTCTATGGTAACTTGTCAGTTGATGGGCAGTTAGGAGACAACTCTGGGGGATATCATCAGATAGGAGAGGTGTCATGGGTCGCTTATGTTCTCTAAGATCCCAGAGAGAAAAAGTCATGGATGAATGAAATGGTTATGATAGATACCTGATTTCAATCCACAGATCAGAAACCCCTGAGATTCTCTTGGTTATATATGTAGAAACCCACTGAAGCTGGAGGCTTAGGAGTTTTGAGCTCAGTGGTCCAACCCTTTGTTCTACATAGAGGGAATTAGAACTAGAGAGAAAGGCCAGCCCTCCCAGGGCACACAGCTAAGACAGAGAACTGAGTTCTAGCCATGTTGCTCTTGGTACATGTGGGAATTTATGCAATGCACATGTGTGACAAATACTTTCTTACAACCACAGAGACATAGAGCAGGGCTGTGCTAAGGAAAAGTCAGGGGACCAAGTCAAGTGACTCCATGTGGGGTCATTAGGATGGAAGAAAGCCAGCCTCCCTGAGTGGGCTCCCTGGTGGTACACCCTAAACTCAGGAACATACTTCAGTGCTATCTGTCTGAAGCTGATTTCTGGGCAAAAGAGCTTTACATAGCACAATGACCTCTAGCAGAGAGGGCTGCCCCAAGCGCCTCATGTGAGTGTGGGGAAGGATGAGATGGGGGTTGCAGGGTATAGCACTGGCAGACATGGCATTGACTCTGAGCAATGGCAATGCAGGAAGAGACCTGGAGGACAGGCTGCAGCAGTGGCAGGACATATGAGCAGATGCCAGATTGGGGAAGGAGTCAAAATGGAGGATGGTGACAGAATGAGCCACTCCACAATTTTACCTGGAGGTCCCCCAACCCCCACCCAGTCCATTTCCTGTGCCTCCTACAGGATCAGGATCTCCTGGTCCAAAGGGTTTGATATAGATGTGTATCAGTCATTTGCCCAAGCATCCCCTTTTCTTGTTTAAGTGCTATTTCAGTCTGCCCTCATATTTAGGTCATTGAACCTTGATTTCCTGTAGTAAGGAAAAGAGGAGGAGCTGGGAAGGTGGCTCAGTGGTAGAGTGCTTGCCTTGCATGCATGAGGTGCTGGGTTCAATTCTTCAGCACCACATAAACAGAAAAAGCTGGAAGTGGTGCTGTGGCTCAAGTGGTAGAGCGCTAGCCTTGAGCTGAAGAGCTGAGGGACAGTGCCTAGGCCCAGAGTTCAAGCCCATGACAGACCAAAAAAAAAAAAAAAGTAAGGAAAAAGAGGAGAAGATAAAGGGAGTTAAAGGAGGAAGAACTGGGTGCTGGTAGCTCACACCTGTAATCCTAAATACATAGGAGGCTGAGATCTGAGGATTGAGGTTTGAAGCCAGCCCTGGCAGACAAATCCAAAAGATCCTTATTTCCAATTAACTATCAAAAAAAACCGGGAGTGAAGGTGTGGCTCAAGTGGTAGAACACCAGCCTTCACTGCAAAAGTCAAATTAGAGCATGAGACTATGAGTTCAAGCTCCAGTACTGGTGCACACACCCCTACACACACAAAGAGAAGAGAAAAGGTGAGAAGAATACAGGAGAGTAGAAGACATGGGGAGAGACAAACATGTGAGGATTTAGCATACACATAGGAGGAACAAGATGTACATGAAGACTCACAAAAAGAAGGAGCAGATTTGAGCAGTAAATGGCTTCCAGGGCATTAAGAGAAAAAAAATATCCACTTTCAAGACCTTCAGGGACCACTGTTGAATAGTACCCAGACATCTGGCTGCAGGTGAGCCTCTCACCTGACTCCCAGGAGACTTTTTCTCTGGAAACCAGCACAATTTGTGGTCCCCTATGGGCTCCTAGCCAGACACTCACCCTCCACCCACCCTGAACAGGCTGACCCTGAGTTGCCCTCCTTCTTACACATGGTCTAGCAGGTGGATTTTGATTTCTAACGACTACAGACACCTGTGTTTCCCTTAATCACTTGACATGGTGATGGAGAACAGACCTAGACTAGCCCCTGGAGGAAAGGCCCAGTGGAGGAAATGTGAGAGACAAACTTGTTGGAGGCATGAAATATCACTAAAAGTGTGGATCCTGTTAGATTTCATTAACTGTTTACATTTCCCTGGCTGCCTCCCACTGGTTACCTGCCCAGAAACAGAATTAGAAACACAAACCTTAAATGAGATCAGGCTTTCCAATGAAATATGACCAGGCAAACAGTCCAGAGCTAAATTACAGGTAAATGGGCCCAGTCCACCAGAGAGACATCCAAGAGGAGGCTGGTGTCAACTCAGCATCGGTGGAGTCTGATTTATGGTTGAGCTGAGGCTCCGAGAGGCCCACTGTGATGAAGGAACCAAGCATGTTTGCAGAACCTAAAAGAGGCATGTGCAGTCTTGGATTTATGGGGAACAGCCACTGCCAGATCCCTCCTGACCTCCTAACTACTTTGGGGAACAGCATACTTCCCCCTGATGACAATTCTGTTTCAGATCATGAAGCTCCAGGTTGAAAGTTTAAAGCCCATGGTCAAGCCAGCAGGACAGAGGAAGAAGAGAAAACAGTTACAAACCCCGAATTCTTCCAGATACTGCGTAGTTCATGCTGTTCCCCTCTAAGCTACCTAACCAAGAGTAACCCCTTTCTTTCCGGTGAACAAGCTTTGAAGCTTTCCTAAATCAGCTCAGACTAAATGTATGGATACTAGCTGCCAAGAGGATGTGTCCCAAGTGCTCCCTGCAAAGTTCTTTCTGATAGAGCCTGTTAAAGAGCTGTCCTTTCTTCCAGTATTCCAGCCTGAGGAGGTAATATCTGCTCCTTTGAGTCCTTACTCCTCAAATGGAAGTCTAGGGACCAGCATCACTAGCATCATTTTGGACCTTTTTTAGGAATGGAAATTTTCTGGTCCCTGTCCTAGTGCTACTGGGCCTGCCTGGTACTTTATTAGGGCTCAACAATGGACCCTGTTGCTGGTGGGTTCCATACCACCAGCTGTTGCAGTAGATAGACTGGCCTTGGTAAGCTATCATCCAGGCTGCTCTGCCATCTGTAACCTCCACCGTGTCACCAGGACCAGTCTGTCCATGCGAGCCTTGTTCCAGGTCTGGGTGACTGATGACAAACACTGAATACTGTCAATTGACTGAGCTGATTTTTGTTTTGTTTTGTTTGTTTTTGCCTTCAAAGGCTCCTTGATTTAGCTCCTGGTAACAGCACCATAAGTTGAAAACACCATTTTCCACAAATGGAAAATTTCATATATTCATTTCATAAATCCAACCAGCCAAAACGTGGAGCTTGGCAATCCAGGACTCTGTAGAGTATCTGTTGTTTCCCCTCACAATGGTGTGGCTGACTGAGAGCTTTGGTTTGCTGCATCTGCAACAGAATTATAAGAAAGTGCCGTGTTGCGTTTTTCTAGCCCAGGGAAACAATCCACATTCAAAGTCTGAAGTACAGTTTCTATATCATTTTGATGTCAGAAAATCATAAGTTGAGCCATTATAATTTGGGGACCATCTCTGCTTGGTTGTTCAAAGCATCTTCCAGGACTGCTCTTAAATATATATTTTTGTCTTTTCTTTTTTTGGTACTGGGGATCAAACCCAGGATGTTGTACTTGTTAGGCAAGCACTTTGCCCCTGAGCTACATCTCAACCCTGTTCTTCTATCCACTACTATCCCACTCTTCAGTCACACTTGAGCCATGACTCCAGCCTAGTTTTTTGTTGATCATTTCAGAGATGGAAAGTCTTGTGGCCTTTTCTTCCGGGGCTGGCCTCAAACTATGGTCCTCAAGGTCTAGACTCCTGAGTAGCTAGGATTACAGGCTTGAGCCACTGCTTCCAACTGATAACTTTTATTTTGAATTGATTTATAAATATGCATTTGAAGTTAAGAAGTTAAGAATAGATTTGAAGTCAAGATTAGATGAAGTATCATGCTCAGGCTTAATAGAGACTGAGGGGTCCATTTGTATTTTACCCATGAGCATGATGATCAAGAGCAAGTGTTAAGCCAGAAATAATAAAAAAAAATGCAAAAGATGCTGGACACTGGTGGCTCATGCCTGTAATCCTAGTTACTCAAGAGGCTGAGAGTTGAAGATCCTGGTTTCAAGCCAGCCTAGGCAGGAAAGTCCATAGACTCTTACCCAATGAACTAGCAAATAAATAAAACCAGAATTGGAGGTGTGGCTCAAATGGTAGAGTGTCAAGCTTGAGGGAAAAAAAAATTAGTGAGAGTACCCAAGGCCTAAGTTTAAGCCCCAATATATCATGTACTGGCATATACAATCAACCAATCAATAAATACGGCCAGTGAGATGGTCTTTCAAGTATCTCCTATGCAATTTATAGCTTAGCCTCAATCACTGTTATATATGAATAAAATTATGCTCCCTCAAATCCCAGAAATATTTGGTCAGTTTTTCAAATTCACATGATTTAGGGAGAAGAACTCTGCTTTGCCTCTGAAGCAGAAACTTGACTGCTTTCAGCAATTTGCATGAAGAATGACATAGATTCACAAGAATGTGGCCAGAGAAAGAACCACAGGCGCACCTACCCCTTGCCTCGCTCCCAGTGGAAAAGGAGTGGAGCCGAGCCAAACTTGGAGGCAGAACATGGCTGCGTGCTGTGAAGGTGAACAGCCGGGATTCATTAGGGTTGCAGACCATTACTGTGGGACCAGTCAGAGCAGGCTCTGGTGGAAGCCTTTATGTTTTTCACTGTGCTTTCCTTTTCCATCTCTGGCCCTGATGACTTAAACTTTGGGTGTTGTAGAGCTGATGAAAACCAAACTTAATTACCAGAAGCTGGGGAAGTCTCTCAGTACACAGACCCCACTCAGTCCTCCTTCCTCAAGCTTTTCCCAGCCTGCACTTGTGGCTCAGGTAGAGTTCTGCTGAAGATACAGCTGGGAACTAGGGAACTGTGGGCATTCACAAAGATGACCTTCTGTGCGGCCACACCCTCTGTATGTGGCCAGCCTCCCTGCTGACACTGAAAATGAGACAGGTTGTGTCAGAGGGCCTCATCTTTTCATGTGAAAATGAGTGTTTATTATGACTTGTAATTAGATGGGTGGCTGGACTCCATCAATACAGCAAATCCTTGATTTCTGAGCATGGGTTGTAAGGAGGTAATTCTAAATTGCAGGTGCTGTTCTCCACCTGCCAGCATGTCACTTTTCCTTTCTTCACCCGAAGTCTTCCTTGTGAATGATTCCCCTGGAGTGTTAGGAGGAGGAAAGGGTAGGAAAGGGAGATTCAAGCTAAGAATAGCTAATAATCATTGAGTACTTAGTTTTTAGCCACTGTTCTGAGCCCTCTATCCCAATCCCCTGTGGGCAGGTACTTAACAGATGAGGAAACTGAGGCCATCTTGGACACAGTAACCCACCAGATGAAATAGGAAGTAAGGCGTTCATTTAGATTCCACACCAGGCAGCATGATCAAGAGCAAGTGCCAAGTTAAGAATATTTTTAAAAAGTGGTGGTGGAGTGTCTTCCAAATATCCACAGTGTAGTTTATATTTCAGATTCAACAACCACGGGAAAGGGCAAGATTGCTTTCTCCAAATCGGAGAAATATTTGATTAATTCTTCAGTTTTAATTTGTAAAGAATTGTGATTCTGAAAGTATTAGAATTTCACAGGTGAGACTTTAAGAAAAGGCTCTGTTCCTTCTTATTCCAGAAACAGAAACTACAGGGAAATTTTGCACAAAATTTTTGACAGGTTCAAAGTCCCTCTAAATTCCCCTCTCAACAGACGACAAGGAACTCCTAAGAAGCCCTGGGGGTTGGAGTCATGGCTCAGTTGGTAGAGGACCAACCAAAGAGTGAAAGCACAGATACTGAGTTTGAGTTCAAATACTGGACAAAAAAAGAACACCTGATTTAGAAAACTATTAAACAGAAGAAATTGGCTGTGTCCAGTAGCTCAGACCTATAATCCTAGCTATTTGGGAGGCAGAGACTGGGAAGACGGTGGTTCTAAGTCAGTCTGAGCAAAAACTTAGTGAGATCCTTCTCAACCAATAAGCCAGGTATGGTGGTGTGGGTCTATCATCCCAGCTATACAAGTAAGTGGATCATGGTTTAAGGCTTCCCCAGGCAGCTCTACCCCCCAAATTAACTGAAGCAAAAAGGACTGGTGAGATGGCTCATAGCAGATATCCGCCTAGCAAGTGTTTGATGCCCTGAGTTCAAACTCCAGTGGTGTTGGGCTATGTGACCCCCTCAGGCAAACTACGGACTTTTCTGTGTCATAGTCATGCCCCACCCCATTCTTCTCCCAACTCAGGGTTTGTTGTGAAGTTCCCAAATCACGGTGTTCTCCAGTGACACATGTGCAACATTCTCTGGGCTGTACCTTCTGTCCAGATGGGGGTACAGTGGTTCTAAGGGTGAAGCTGTTGGTGGGTATTGGTGTAGGGAGACTGTGTGTGCATGTGGGTAGAGGGCCATGGAGGAGGAAGAGGGAGGAAGGAAGTCATCCTCTCAGCTGGTAGGAGACCCCCTAGAGCTTCTAATACCCACAGGTTTTTGGAAACAAAGCTCTGTCCTGCTGCTATCATGCAAGGAGCAGGACCTGCTGGCGAGCAATAGACTGAACCTCTTTCTCTGACCTCTACCCTGCACCTCTTCCATATGCTTTGTGATTTTCCTTCTCTGTTAGACTGTTTTTTAATGTTTGTTGTGTACAGATTTTTTTTCTTCCAAAGGGGAATGGAGGGGAGGAAGACCAACACCATGTGTCTTTCCAGTCAGTCTCAAGACAGACACTACATATGTTAGTCAACATTCATTGTGCAATTTGCAAGTGTTGAGCACTGTGCTATGGCCTGACATGCAAAATCTCATTAATTTCTTCCAACCAATAGGGCAGATTATTGATCCATTTTATAGAGAATTAAGAGAGTTTATTAAGTTGCTAAATGTCCTGTAGCCAGAAAGTACTTAAATCAGTATTTGAACACAGGCCTCTGAGTGATGAGCTCTTATGTTCAGCCATTTCACTGTTTCGGGCCCAGCATCCTCCACTCCTACATCATCATGGCCCCAACCACTAGACAATAATATTCCAGCATTGGACAATTATTGGCCACATTCATGCTCATACTCTCCTCTTGCCATGTCCAAGCTACACACCTGCTTATCTTCTTCTGTTGGCATCTATTTATGTATCTACCCATGTGTCTACTTATGTATCTATCTATGTAACTACCTGTTTGTCTATGTCTACTTATCTATCTGTCTGCCTACTCTATCTATCTATGTATCTATCTATTATCTATGTATCTATCTACCTATCATCTATATCTATCATGTATCTATCATCTATGTATCTATCATCTATCATCCATCCATCTATCCATCTAAACAAATTTAAAGGTATTTTGATGGTTACTTGCCATGGATCCATGGGGGGGGGAGTATAAATGCAAATGATGATGTAAACAGAAATGTTCATTGTTTTCCTAGTGTCCTTCTAGAAAGTCTTCTCTACTTCCCTCAGTGGATTGAGATCCCACTTTCTTCACTAGGCCTGCCCTGGAATGACCACTCCCATATCTTTTTAATCTGACTGTACAAACAAATATGGAAACAGGCATGGCCCAAAGCCCCAATTTCATATTAGACTTGGGTGTGTCTCACTTTGTCATTTTCAGGTGAGTGATCATGTGCAAGTGAATTTCTGAATCTTCTTTCCTGCATCCATAATAAGTAGATAACAATACCTATTGTACAATGTGACTATTACGGTTAATTAAAATTCTGTTTAGGCAGAATTGTATGTATAATGGCCAGTACAATTTTATATATGCAGTACCTTAAGAAGCTGAATAACCTAGAAATTAGAGCCCCTGGCCCAAGAGTTCTGGGTTTAAACCCTGGCTCAGCCCATTACTAACTGGGTGGCCTGGAATGAGCTGACTCTCAATGGCTCATTTTTCTGTTTGTAGAACAGTGCTTGGTTCAGAAATCAAAATGTGTGATTTTTTTTGTTTATTTTGTATGTTCTTCCCCCATGGTACAACTCCTGTTGTCACTGTATTTGATTCTGCTGCCCTGCATCTTGTATATACATTTTTCTAATTTGGGGAGGGGAAGGGAAATAACAACATGCTGAAATAAGGATACAGGATGACCCATTGTAACAATGAGATGTACAAAACAGTATGTTGAAAATGAACTTTACAACTTTGTGGGGATGGGGGAGGATGGGAAAGAGGAGGGAGGAGTTGTGGAGGTGGGGAGGAAAGGATGGTAGGGGGAATATAAATGAGGGTGTAACAATGCTCAATAGGACATGGACTCATTACCTTGCTCATGTAACAAACCCCTCTGTACAGTATCTTTATAATAAAAGTATGCATTAGAAACGAATTATTGTAAAAAACTACAAAAAAGAAATTGAGTGAATGAATGTGCATTGGCTGATAAATGGTAAAGAAACTGTGGTACATATGTACATTGCAATAGTATTCAGACAAGAAAAAGGGATGAAACCTTGTCATTTGTGCCAGCACAAATAGAACTAAAAATATTACATTAGGTTAAATAAGGCAGGGATAGAAAGATAAATACTATTGATGTCACTCATATGTGGAATCTAAAAAAATTAATTTCATACAAGTATGCAGTGGAATAGTGGTTACCAGGGACTGGTTACCAGGAGGGATGAGGAAAGGTAGGTAGGTAGGTTTCAGTTAGGAGAAATAATTTCTGATGTTCAGTTATGCATTAGGGTGACTATAACAACAGTGTACTGAATATTTTTAAAAGCTACAAGAAAGGATTTAAATTGTGTTCACCACAAAGAAATAATAAATGTTGGAGAAGATATGTACTTGATAAGATATACTTACCATGAACGAGCAAAACATGGTATATACATGTATCAAACTACAACAGGGCACCCACTAAATATTTATAAATTTCTGTTAATTTTTTAAATGAGAGAGATTGCATACATACACAGATATAGATACAGCTATAGATAACACAGAGAGAAGATAGATTGATAGATAGATGGATGGATACATAGATACATAGATAGATATAGAGAAGGGATGGGCAAGATTATCCAGAATAATCTCCTTTACTTAAAATTTCCTAATTATATATGCAAATCACAACTACACAAGTCCTGCCCAGCAATATCCATATTAGTGTTTTAACAGAACAGCTGTCCAGAATATCTTCATCAAGTTGATATGTAAAATAAACCATTGCAAGTACTCTGAAAAAAAAAAAAAGAAGAAGAAGTAGAAGTCAAAAGCTTTGCTGGGAATCCGTGGCACATGCCTGTTAATCCTAGCTACTCAGGAAACGGATCTAAAGATCTCTGTTTGGAAATCAGCCTGGACAGAAAAGTCCTTGAGAGACTTATCTCTGGTTGCACATACAAAAAAAAAAAAAAAAATCAAGAAGTGCGGGTCTTGAGTGAAAAAGCTGAGACAGCATCCAGACCCAGTACTGGTACAAAAACAAAAGCGAAGAACTCACAAAAACTTAGAAAGCACCCTTCCTCCTCATTTAAGGTGCCACAATAGAGACAGTATCCTGTACAGGATCCCGGAGCCTAGCGCCCTGCCTGGCATGTGCTCAGGAATGCTCTCTGTTGCTGAACTCACCAATATGGGCCTGGTGGGAAGATGAGGAATTTCCCTAGCCAACTAGCTTCCAAACTGTAATCACTTGGAGCAGACAGAGGGGGACAGAGAGAGCTTAGAGGGAGAGGAAGAGTGTGAGGAGGCCAGTGGGCTTCCTTTGTTCTCCTGGCCTCCTTCCCCAGGCCACTCTTTTAATCAGGGCGCAATCCAGAGAAAGCGCAATGAATTCCCGTCCTAGCCCCGACCCCAGGCTCCCGCAGTGGTGGGGTGGTGGGTGGTGGGGTGAGGCAGGCACCCCATGGCTCTACCTCTATTCCATCCAGGTGCTCCTGGCGTCTCCACGCCATCCTTCCTGCCCACCCATCTCCACTTGGTGGACCGTGGGAGCCCCAGAGTCCTGTTGGGCATCTCTCTGAGCTGCGAGGGGTACCCATTAGCCTCCCTCCGGACTGCCACAGAGCCTGGGGCGGGGTGGAGGGCAGGAGGTGGGGAGCTTTGCGGGGGGCCACCTCTGGGCCCCTCAAGGGTTAAGGTGGTGAGGAGAGTTTGGGGCTGACGTCGCCGTCGCTGTGGCTGAAGGTGGTGGCTCCCCTCTGATGGGGATGGGGGAGTCTGCCCAGCTGAAACCCGAGCTCCGGCTCAGCTGGGGATTGGGGAGGTCCCTGTAAGAGCCGCCCTGCCTCCTTCTGTCCCGTCCCTCCTCCAGTTCCCAGTGACTCGCGCAGCACCGCGGGAAAGATGGAGCTGGACCGCTGGACGCAGCTGGGGCTCGTGTTCCTGCAGCTCCTGCTCATCTCATCTTTGCCAAGAGGTACTGTGAGTGGCGTTCAGGACGCCCCTGGAAGGGCATTTCCTTCCCGGGTGGTGGGGGGGGGGCGGGAGCGGCGGGGTTGGGGTGATGGGGACTGGACTTGGCAGTTTCAAGGAGGCAGGGGTGTGGGTGGCTAATCTTGGGGGCTTGGCTGGTGGTGCTGGAGTTAGAGCCTGTTGCCCTCCCTGAGAACGGAAGGCGATATCCCTAGTTGTAGACTAAACTGTCTCTAGAAGGGGAGACCAATTATATTTGGCTCCTTTTTTAAAGTCCCGGGTCACCTTGAGGATGGGGTTGAGTTTAAGTGGCTGTGTGCTTTGCAAATACAAAGTTTTCCCTGGGAAGCAGTCCTGCAGAGGTGAGCAGGAAAGAAGGCAAGAGAGCTGGGCTGGCTTGTTGCTCTGCCTGGAGAACCTTGATCTGCATGATTTCACTGATAGAACCCTTTCTGCTCAGGTCCTCAAGCCTAGGAGATCGAGGCACTTCCTTCCTACTAAGAAGGAAAGCCCGAGGTTGAAATGCCAAGTTCTTTTTGGGGACACACGCAGTGTTTGTTTGGAAAGCATTCTGGTTTCTTTGTTTTGTTTTGTTTTTTTTACATGCCATTTTTCTGAGCCACAATTCCCAGGTCCAATGGGCTGGGTGGGTGGAGGCGAGGGTAAAAAAAAAAATGAGGCTGGGACATGACATAGAATTCTTGGGAACCTCTTGAGTCAGCAAAGGGGAAACCCCAGGAAATGGCAGGCCTGGGAAGGGCTCTTTGGCAGGTGAGAAGCAGCTGCCCTTACCTGGCCAGAGGGTGAGGGGTCAGGAGGTGAGAGAGCGGAGGACTGACAGAACAGAAAGCATCTCTTCCTGGCAGCTTGCCTATCAGTCTCTGGTGCCTCTTTACCGTGCAGGCAGCCTGTCCTTTGTGTTTAGCTGAGCCATGGGTGCTGTGATGCTGCAGGTGGTTACAGGGAACTGCAACAGGTAGAGAAGGAGGTTGGTGGTGATACTTACATGCAATAGCCTGCTGGAGAGAAGCAGAAGACAAGTGTCTGTGTCAACAAAAAGCCTGGATATAGGAGGCCTCTTCCTCCACTTCGGATGCACACTCTATCTACAGCCAGCTTCCTCCTCCCGTTTTTTTTCCGTGATTTACTGTCTGAAGGTCTGAGTGTTTCCTTTGCCTTTGGTCCCAGGAGCAGCCCAAAGACAATAAAAGAGAAAGCAGAAGTAGCCCTTTAAGTAAGTCTAATCTGCCACCCTAAACACTTGCCCAGGGGTAAATTGAGGATTTTGCCTTAGGATTCCTCCCTGTTCCATATTTGCCTTTTGGAACCAGATCACCGGGGTGTGGTGGTCTAGAGCAACTCTAGAAGACCCTGGTTCTTCTCAGAGCATCCGGATTCAGTGGTTCAGATTTCCCTTGTGGTCAGTCCCAAGCTTCTCTTCTCCATTTCCATAACGTGGCAGGTGAGACAACTCCAACCCACGAAAGCTGAAAAACAAACTCGGCTCCCCAGCATCTGAAAAACTCATTTCTTGCTAATTTAAGATTCTCTTTTACCTTTTGCTGTGGAAAAGCTTTGGGGAGGGTGTGTGGTTTGTTGTCAGCCAAGCCGCTGACTGAGCCAGAGGAGCAGCTTCATGCATTTAGCACGGACATTCCAGTTGTTGAACTGAAGAGTGGAGAAGGAAAATATTTCTTCATGTAGTTAGTGTACAAGTCCACTCCCTGCTGGAATATTGCATCTGGCTCCAGCAAGAAAAAGCTTGGATGCATTTCTCCTGTAATTACTTTTCTAAAAAGAGGATCTGAAATGTAAATATCCGTGGGATGATGTTGTTCCTAGACACGGGATATGTGTCGGAGGTCAGGAATCCAGACATGAGGCCAAGTGATAAACGCGACATAAACAGCAATGAGGTGGAAGCCCAACTCTAATGGACTCCGCCAAATAGCAGTGGTGCTGCCAATGTGACTCGGCCTAAGAGGAAAACCTCGTTTAAAACATGAGGCTCTTGGGAAATGAAGCTTTATTATGAATCACTTTGCTAGTGACATTTCCAACAGTTAGCTAGTAAGGTGGGAACCCAAATATAACTGGGGAAGAAAATGTGAAGCCCAGGTATTCTTCAGTGTCAGCAGGGAATGTGGAAAGCAAGCAAGGGGGAAAGAGTGGCAAGGAAAATTAGATGGTGGCTTCTGGTGGGATGTGTTAGCACATTCCAAAGACGAGAGCTGTGGAAATTGAGCTTGCAGACATGGTGGATTTTGTGGGAATCACAAAGAGGGTGTTCCCTTATCATATATTCTGAGAGCTCTTGGCACCCCACAAGGAAGATAATTTCATGGTAGGACTATGGATTTTCGGAGCAGAGACTGTCTTTAGTGATTATTTTTGCTTGAGTCTTTCCATTCCAAGGACAAGATTAACCACCTAGCAGGCAGTGAAGGTTTAAGATGCACCTAGACTTTAAATCACATGCTTTATATACTTAAGTTTTAGGCTATTAACTATTAACACAGTTGCTTCACTATCACTGTTTTACAGGTGAAGTTTGGAGAGGTTCTAAGATTGGTTCAAGGATACACAGGCATAGTTCTTCAAAGCGTTAAACATATAATTACCATCTGACCTAGCAATTCAGTGTGTGATCTATGCATCTAAAAACTGAGGGCAGAGACTCAAACAAATACCTGCATCCCAGAGTACATAGCAGCATTACTCTCCAAAGTCAAAAGCTGGAAACAAGCCAACTGTCCAAAGGTGAATCAACCAAATGTGCTACACACATATGATGGAATAACACTTTTAAAAAGAAGAAAATTTTGGCCCATGCTACAACATAGATGAACAATACGTTGGAGGAGCTGGACACAAAAAGACAAACACCAGCCGGGTGCTGTTTGCTCACCCCTGTAGTTCTAGCTATTCAGAAGGCTGAGGTCTAAGGATTGAGGCTTAAAGCCAACATCAGCAGAAACATTTGTGAGACTCTAGTTAATCAGCAAAAAGCCAAAAGTAGAGGTGTGAATCAAGTGGTAGAGCAAGAGTCTTGAGCAAAAGCAAGCCAAGCAAGAGCATGAAGCTTTGAATTTGAGCCTCAGTATTGGGGTGTGCTTGCGTGTGCACACATATGACATACTCTGTGCAATTCCATTTGTATGTGGTACCTACAATAGTCAGTTCACAGAGACAGGAAGTAAGATGGTGACAACCAGGGGCCACAGGGAGAAGGGAAAAGGAAGTTAGTGTTTAATTGGTGTAGAATTTCAGTTTGATAGGATGCAAAAGTTCTGGATATATATATATGTGTGTGTGTGTGTGTGTATATATATATATATATATATATATATATTCCATCTAACAATATAGGTATGATGGCATATACGTCTAATTCCAGTATTTGGGAGGCTGAGGTATGAGGTTTGGGAGGGAATTCAAGGCCAGTATTGACTACATAGTGAGACTGCTTTCATAAGTAATTAAGTAATCATGTAAGTGAGTAAAGTCTGAATAGGTGGAGTACAAGGTAGTCTCTAGCTGTCTTATTTTGAGCTCAAGTTCACCTATTCCCTGGGTGACTTTCACTCACACATCTAGCACATGGATTGGTGGTGCCATGTACATGTTACCTTGGCAGGATTTCTGGACATGTAGGAAGCAGACTAGAGACAGCCCTGGCTAGCTTCAGTTGGGGGCATAGTTGCTCTGTCATGCTTGGCTGCGGTAAAGAGGAAGAGTGCACAGTGAAGACTGCAAACTGGCAGCCCACAGTTGCCTTAGCAGAGACACTTAGTAGAACCCCATGTACAGAAATGTTTGAAGCTGATTGCCTTGAGGTGGGCTAGATCCACCCTCTAGTCCCACAGCCTACCTTCTCCTGTTTGATACCGACTACCAGCATTTGTGTTCTTGATCTCCATTCCTAAGAGTAGTGGGGCAGAAGAGAGAAAGAAAGGGAAGGATGGAAGTAGAAGGCTGGATGCTCAATGCTGAGAGTTGCAAAGGGGTAATACTACTAAGGCTAATGATGATTGGCTAATGACTTTTTTGTGTATGTGTGCGAGTCAGGGTTTGGGTGCTGTCCCATGTTGTTTTGCTCAAGGTTAGCACTCTATCACTTGAGCCACAGCTCTTGTCCTCACTGTTTGGTGGTTCACTGGAGATTAGAGTCTCACAGACTTTCCTGCCTAGGCTGTCTTCTAACCATGATCATCAGATCTCGGCTTCCTGAGTAGTTAGGATTATAGGTATGAGCCACTGGCACCTAGTATAAGAGGACTTTAAAAGGCACCCACTAGGGCTGGGAATGTGGCTTAGTGGTAGAGTGCTTGCCTAGCATGAATGAAGCCCCGGTTGCCTTCCTCAGTATCACATAAACAGAAAAAGCTGAAAGTGGTATGATGGCTCAAGTAGTAGAGTGCTAGCCTTGAGCAAAAGAAGCTCAGGGACAGTGCCCAGGCCCTCAGTTCGAGCCCCAGGACTGGCAAAACAAACAAACAAATAAATAAAAACACCCACTGTATAGGACTTTTCTTTCTTTTTGTCTGTGGTTGAGGGACTTAAATTCAGGGCCTGGGCACTATTTTTGTGCTGCTAAAGACTAGTGCTCTACTACTTTGAGTTACAGCTTCACTTCTGGGTTTTGGGCGGTTTATTGGAGAGAAGAATCTCATAGATAGGCTGGGAAGGTAGCTCAGTGGTAGAGCACTTGCCTTGCATGCATGAGGCCCTGGGTTTGATTCCTCAGCACCACATAAGCAAAAAGAAAAAAGTTGGATGTGGCGCTATGGCTCAAGTGGTAGAGCACTAGCCTTGAGCTGAAGAGCTGAGGGACAGTGTCCAGGCCCAGAGTTCAGGCCCCACGACTGGACCCCCCCTCCAAAAAAAAAGAAAGAAAAGAAACAAAAAAAAGAATCTCATAGATTTTCCAGCTTGGCTTTGAACTTCAATCATCGGATCTCAGCCTCCTGAGTAACTAGGATTACAGGTGTGAGCCACCAGTGC